CATGTATAAAAATATTTCACCCAGCATAGACAGCAAGCATTCAGACAATATGCACACATAGTATGTAATTTATATTAAATACTTCATATCTATGTGTAAGATGAAAGGTACTATGCACTCACCTGAAAGGTGGTGACTCAACACTTGGACAGTGCTTCGATGCTCTCAAAACAATTTTCCTTCGATAAAACCTAGTATCAATACCACTAGAGTTTAGTCTAACGATAACCGCGACAAATTAATAGTCTGAATATTATTACTATTATATAAGAGTTAAATAACACTCAATATAACTCATAATAATAGCCCAAATAATTATTTTAAGGACCTAATAACATTACTATAATTATTTGAAAGCTATATTAAAAATAGCGTAGGCGTAGCTCACTTACAACGGGTTTTATTGAAAACCGGGCTTTGCTGGAGCAACGTTCCCAAGCCGAAAGGCTCCTCCTCTCGGAGCTTCCCGGTGCTCTGGGACTTGCTTCTAACACCTTGGAGGTGCTAGGAAAAACCTGGAAGGTTTGGGGGTATTTGGGAGTAAAGAAGTGGAGAGTTGTGAAGAAAATGGGAGATTTGCGCCTTTATTTATAGGCTGCCAGCGCCGAGTTCGCCGGGCGTACTTAAAAATTACGCTAAGCGTAATGGTTACGTTGAGCGTACTCAAAATTATGTTGGGCGTAATGTGCCACGTGTCACCATCTGGTGGCTAGCCTTGGGGAGGAAGAAACGGTTGTGATCGCGCCACATCACCCAAACTTGCACAGCACCCTCCCGACTTATAAAAAATCATAAATTTCGCATACGAGCTCTGTTTTCGACGTTCTTTATATCCACACGAAGGCGGGAACATACTCTACAACTTGCGTTTAGACTCCGTCGGCTAATTTTGACTTTATTTTAAATTTTATTTTTTTAACAGGCCGGGACTGGATTGGTCAATTAAAAATTCATAACTTCTTCATCCGATGCCCGTGTCGTCTGTCTTTTTATCCTTACACTACAAATAAGGAGATCTTCAATTCTCGTTTAGGTTGTGTCGGCTAAAAACCGCTCGATCTAATATTCAAATTTCGATCTGTACACCGCTAAGCCGAAACTTCGAAAAATCATAACTTCTTCATACTAGTTAAAACCATATGATTTCATATTAATATTACTACTTATAATATATTAATAAATCATATATAACCTTCTCTCAAGACTCCATCCTAACAAATTGTCCTAATGATATGCAACCCAAATGGACCATGCTACTATCGGGTCAAGTACATACCAATAATAGTTATGGGACTAGACATCTAATCCAACAATTGGCAGATACGATGTCATGAGGAAAAGCCCTAAAAATGTCATGGGAAGAGTTCTTGGAACAACTGAAGATGCAGTACTGTTCAGAGCTAGATCTGATTGATTTGAACAATGAGTTCCAAAACTTGAAGAAGGGTAGGATAAGCATTGATGACTATACTATTGCATTCACTAAGAAGATAAAGTTATTTCCATACCTGGTGCCAACCGAACTCTCCAAAATTGAGAGGTTCGCAAATGGACTGCCAACCGACTTTGGCCCGACGGTCAAGATGGCAACCACTCTAAAATCAGCGATTCGAGCAGTTAAGAATGTGGAGACCCAATAGAAGGAAAGGGGTCTGAAGAGGGCCGAGGTTTGAGAGAAAAGGAAATTTGATGGATCCTCGAGGTCCAACAATAAGAGTAAATTCTCGAAGTCTGGTTCGAGAGGAGGAGGATCCGAATCAAAATGGTGCGACAAATGCAAGAAGAAACACCAAGGGAAATGTGACGGAGGGGTCACCTGTTTCAAGTGTGGAAAGCCCGGACACTATGCCAACGAGTGCACGTTCACTAAGAAGGTATGTTATGAGTACAACGAGGAAGGGCACATTTCAAGGGACTGCCCGAAGAAGAAAGAGGCAGGAAGACCCAACATTCCACCGAAGTCGAAGGCAAGAGCCTTCCAGATGACGCTCGAGGCTGCAAAGGAGGCAACATATGTCGCTTCAGGTACCTTTCTTGTAAATGGTTTGCCTGCCAATATACTCTTTGATTCCGGAGCAAACTACTCATTTGTGTTGCATAAGTTTGGTGGGAAACTAGCATTGCCCGTAGAAAAACTAGATAATGCCCTGATTGTAGAAGTTGCTAGTGGTAAGTTTGCACATGTTAGTGATTGTATTAAGAACTTCGTCATTGACTTAAACGGAAACGAATTCCACGAAGATCTGTTGCCCATAGAGTTGAACGGTTTCGGCATCATTTTGGGTATGGATTGTCTTAGCGCCAACGACGCTGAGATACTTTACAGGAAGAAGATAGTAAGGGTAAACCTACCCGAGAAAGAGTCATTTATGGTGTACGGGGACAAACGCAGAATAAACTCAGGAATCATCTCCCTCATGAAAGCGAGCAAATGTTTATCCAAGGGATGTGCATCATATTTGGGATTTATGATTGATGCTAAGAAGGAAAATAAGAAGGTATAGAATACACCAATGGTGTGTGACTATCCATAAGTCTTTCCCGAAGATCTTCCTGGATTATTGCCTGATAGACAAGTAGAGTTCAAAATAGACTTGTTACCAGGAACAACACTGATAGCAAAAGCACCATACCGATTAGCACTGACAGAGATGAAGGAGCTTATAACGCAACTTCAGGAGTTGTTGGACAACAACTTCATTCGACCTGGTTCATCACCATGGGGAGCTCCGGTGTTATTCATGAAGAAGAAAGATGGAAGCATGAGAATATGCATAGATTACAGAGAGTTGAACAAGACAACGGTAAAGAACAAGTACCCTTTTCCAAGGATTAATGACCTATTCGATCAGTTGCAAGGTTCGAGATATTTCTCAAAGATCAATCTTAGGTCAGGATATCATCAGCTGAAGGTGAGAGAGCAGGATATCGAGAAGACTGCATTCAGAACAAATGGACAATATGAGTTCTTGGTTATATCGTTTGGACTAACCAATGCTCCAGCAACATTCATGGATTTGATGAACAGGGTTTGTAAACCATTCCTCGATAAATCCATGATAGTGTTCATAGATGACATTCTGATTTACTTAAAGAGCCAGGAGGAGCATGACCAGCATCTACGAGAAGTGTTGGAAGTCTTGAAGAATGATAAGTTGTATGCAAAGTTCTCCAAGTGTTATTTTTGGATCCGATAAGTCCAATTCTTGGATCATGTGGTTAACCAAGAAGGGATAATGGTTGACCCAACAAAAATCGAAGCGGTGATGAAGTGGGAACTACTAAAAAGTCCCACAAAGATTCGAAGCTTTTTGGGATTAGTTGGATATTACTGATGATTTATCCAAGGCTTTTCTTCGATAGCTGCTCCATTGAAAACTTTGACCCACAAAGGAGCTACGTATACGTGGAGTGAGAGGCACGAAAAGCATTCGAGAAGCTAAAGAAGAAATTGTGTGAAGCACCGATTCTTTCTCTACCGGATGGAGTTGAAGATTTTGTGTTCTATAGTGATGCATCTGGAGTCGGGTTGGGTTGTTTTCTGACCCAAAGAGAAAAGGTGATAGCATACACATCTCGACAATTAAAGGAGCATGAAAAGAACTACCCCACTCATGATCTGGAGTTGGCAGCGGTAGTTTTTGCCTTGAAGGCATTACCTCTATGGCACAAAGTGCAAACTTTTCACTGATCATAAGAGTCTCTAGTATCTTTTTAATCAGAAGGAATTGAATATGAGGCAACGATGCTGGCTAGAGTTACTCAAGGACTACGACTGTGGGATACTTTACCACCCCGGTAAAGCAAAAGTTGTCGCTGATGCTCTCAGTCAAAAAGTTAACCTTGAGAGAAAAAAGGCCAAGAGCATTGAGAATAGAATTTGTCTCAACGATTGTGGAAAGTATCAGGAAAACTCAAAAAGAAGCTTCAAAGAAGACTGACCGGAAGGAAGAACGTTTGGGCAAAATGTTAGTGTTCGGTACAAACAGTCAAGGACTGAAGGTATTCCAAAATTGGATTTGGGTACCTAAGACGAAAGGAATAAGAGATCTTCTGATGGAAGAAGCGCACAAGACCATGTACTCAATTCATCCCGGTAGCACTAAAATGTATAGGGACCTAAAACCCTACTACTGGTGGCTGACGATGAAGCTTAATGTTGCGAAGTTTGTTTTCTTATAACATCTTTATTTATTTTACTATATTTACCAAATAGTGCATCTAGTATACATCATGATTCATTTTCTTCATTAGTAATGATTATAGATTCATTTATATTTTCATTAGATATAAACATCATAATCTAGCTTTGATACCGAAATATAAACTTCAAAATAATAATATAAAAATATTTAAAAATAAAAATTATAAAGTATTAAAAATGATAAATAAAAGGGTACCTGATCTTGATCTTTAAATTTTACGATATTCTTCTCCTTATCAAATTCTTGTATGATATTTTTATGGTTTCTTTAGGGTATGTGATCTTGAGAAGTTAGAAACTTCAACAAATAAATTGGTTAGTAACTTCATTTCATAAATTTTGTTATTTCATATGATCAATAATCATTATATAGGTAATATTTTACAAACAACAAAGAATGAAATAACTTTTTGTTGGTCAATAATATTTCTAATTTTACATTATTTTATATAGAACATGTATTTGATGTTATTATACATTAAATACATTAAAGTAGATATCATACATAATACACAAATACTATTACATATTTTACACTACATAAACCCTATTACATATAAAAACAACAATATCTTATGATTATTATATTTTTGAGAGACAATAATTATTATATTGTATTTGAAATAGTAGTTATGTGTTTGTTCTTATCGGAAATAGGATGAGAAAAGTTTTTTGAAATGTCGTGATGGGTATAAAGGATATAAAATTATCAAATATATTTAGAAATAGTACAATTTTTAAAATAGTATTAAAGAATTAGTAGAAATACATGAGGAAAACTCTGTCCATCTCTCTATTTCACACAAACGCACTGGATTACCGGGTACGGTCAAAGTTGTTGTTTTCCCACACGCCACAACCTTATTATCAATCGCATACAAACACAACAACTCTTCTTATTATATATATTTACACCCCTGTGACCCTCCACCCGCTCTTTCTCACTGACACACTCATATTCACACACACCCACACACACCTGTTCCTCCTTGTACCCCATTTACATCGGCCTTCAATCCATTGTACTACCGGCTTCTGAGTAGAATGCCGACCTCAGAATCATCGTTTCTAAGGCAACTCAGTGAAAAAGAAGGCTGGAAATCAACATCCAAGCGATGGGGTGGATACAGTACTTCCAATAAAAAAGCTAGCAGCAGCTACAGGGAGTCGCATTTGATGCAGATGGAAGGTGTTGGGATGTACGGAAGTAACGCTGGACGCTCGGGATCTGGTACTACCGGGATGATGGAGAAGAGGAAGAGAGTCATGGTTGTAGTGGATCAATCGTTGCATTCCAAGCATGCTATGTTGTGGGCGCTTACACATGTCGCCAATAAAGGGGATATGCTTACTCTTCTTCAGATTAGCCCTAATTTGAACAAGGAAAGTCAAGGTGGTTCTTCTTCTTCGGCTCCTACAAATCTTTTGGTTACCTCGCTTGGTACCCTCTGCAAGGCCTGTAAACCTGAGGTAAAATTGCTTACGGATCTGCATATTCTAGATCTTAAACATTTCTGTCACATTGATTTTGGGGATAGTTTTATCTGCGTTACACCAGTTTGGTTGACGGCGACAGATTCTCATTTTTATTTCCCCATTTTGTTTGTGAGCAATATGAGATCTGAACTGAAATCTATGGCGTTTCTGAACATGGTGACTGGATTTGTCAACAGGTGGAAGTGGAAGCATTGGTGATTGAAGGTCCAAAGCTGGCCACAGTTGTGAGCCAAGTGAAGAAGCTAGAGGTGTCGGTGCTTGTTTTGGGTCAAAAGAGTTCTTCATTCCTTCAATGGTTTGTCTCTTCATCTCTCTTTCATCTTCCTCCTACCACATAGTTTTTGTGAAGGTGAATCTATTCCATCCCATCACTGATTTTTGGTGGATATTATTTATAAAAACAATAATTCATTAGCAATATATTGCACTATATTTTACATCAAAAAAAAATATTCTAAAGTATATTTCTTGTTTTGTTTGATACTTTGATTATATACATTTACTTTCACATTATCCCCACATTTTATATTTTTCAAGTGATTTGATAAATTATATTACTATACCATTTAACAAAACTAAATTTTCTTATTATCCAAAAGAAATATTTCATTAAATAACAAAAAGAAAAAATTACATTTTCAGTACATTTACTAAAACATCAAAACTAATTCTAATGTAGTAATTAATACAACCAGCATACATTTAAATGAAGTTAAAGTAAACAAGTTATCAAAATTGAGGGACCATTTTGTAGATATGAATGCTTTACACAAGAAAAAGGTAAAATTTGTGAACGATGATGCTCTATTGGTCTATTATTTGATTTATTTCTAACACTTAAATGACGGTGCATTTATTGTTAAGACTTTAATGCAAAAAAAAAAGTGTAAAATAGTGAAACTGGTAAATTACAATAATGTATGATGATTGAAGTTAATTGAAAAATAGTCGATTTCAATGCAAACTGTGATTGTATTTAAAAAATAAACCGGGTCAAATCCAATACTTTACAACTTTTTATCTTATGCTATTAAAAAAAAAAAAATAGCATCACTTTTTTTAATAAGACTGTCGATATCAAGTAACATTGGTACGTACCTCGTTAACGAGTTTGATTAAAAGTTGAGTTGTATAAATCAACATAAAGAAAAGAAGACATAACTATTTATGAAAAAGCTGACTGAATGTTTTGTCTTGTTAATAATTTCAAAAAAGCGGGAATATACAGAGAAGAACATCATTTTGGCGTGTCCTTTTACATTGAAAATTTGAATAATAAGTATGCTACTATTTCAAGTAAAAGTAAAGTATATTACGTATATATTGATTGATTATAAAAAAGGTAAAGTATTTTTGGTATTTGTTGTAGCTTGGGAGGGATGAGCAGCACAGAGAAGTTTGTGGAGCAATGTATCAACACGGTGGAATGTTTGACAATAGGAGTCAGGAAGCAGAGCAAAGGGATCGGTGGGTATCTGATTAGCACAAGATGGCGTAAGGATTTTTGGTTATTGGCTTAGTTACTTGATTAATTATGGTCTAATTAATTAAAAGTCTCATAGGTGTAATATGAATGTATGTGTATGTGTATGATGCAGATGTTGATGAACTAATGTAGTGTTAGTACCCAACAAATAAAACTCATGTCATTCCATAAACCGCTAACTATTCTAATTCTATTGTATAATAATTTCAGCCCACAACTGTATTTGTTTTTTGTTTTTAATGCATATTTCATATATATTTTTTTTCTAATAAAGATTATATGAAATTGGCGAGTTTTTGTTTTTCATGTGTTCAAATATGATTTTCTTTAAAATGAAAACCCACCTCATGTTCCATAGAAACCAACGTTGGTTCAAAATTTCAAATAAAAGTTTGAGTTATATTTTTTTTAAAATAGTGGATAATTTATTATAAAAACTAGCAAGAAGCTTGAAAAGAATTACATTAAAATTGTGGTATACATAGGATTATGGAGCCAAGAGTTTCAAATCAACTTGGCTTTCCTACATCTATTACTAATCCAAAAAAATGTTCTATAAACATCCTCATCAAAAATAAAAGATTTAAAAGGGTTATTCGCTCAAAAAATGCACCAAAAAGTAGTCAAAACTACTACATCAAACGGCTTGTTGTTGGCCTCTTCTAATAGAAATAGAATCATACCACAATATCAGGGAATGAATTGAGATCTGCCCCAACACCTGGATACCCCACCAAATAGCAATATGTCTTCAAATCTTAAAAAAATCAGTGCAACCTACGAACAAATGCTCAATAGTCTCCACATTGCTAGAACAAATAGGCAAAGAATCGATTCTACCATAGCCCCCTTGTGAGAGAATCTCTCTCTAGTGGGAATACTAAGCAGTTGAATCCTCCATATAAGAATATTAATCTTAATCGGAACCCAATTATTCCACCTGATCACGTCACCACCTGTAAAAAAACATATTACGGTATTACCATCTATAAAGCCATGAGCACAAGAAACATAAAACATATCGTCGGTATCAATAATCCAACGCAATCTATTAGGCATCAACTGAAGTCGAATATTCCGAGCAATCGTAAGTAACCCTTCCCACTGCTCCCGCTCAACTCCACCTTTAGGATCATGTCTCAGAGTAGTCGCGTCCCAACCCTTAAACATCTGATCATTGACACAAAAATGGCTAAAAGTATCTAAAGCATGAATCCTGTGAAAAGTGGTGGCAAGTGACTCTTCCCCATCCAAATGTCTTGTCAAAAATACGTGTGGCGAGCATCCATAATCCGAATAGGACATAGAGACCGAATATCGATACCTCTGCCTCTAAGCTAACCAAGCATACAAATAACTCCATTCCAGGGATCTGTACCAACTCTAGTCATGATTAAGGATCTTCAACCACCATCATAGTCATACAAAGATTTAATAAGACGAACCCACAACATATTTAGGTAATGATGAAATCTCCACCACCACCGAATCATCATAGCCCTATTAAACGAATAAAGGCTCCCAAATCCTAAGCGTCCCTCATTTTTAGCAGCTAAAACTCTATCTCATCTAACCCAATGCATATGTCTCTCATCTAGATCTCCACCCAAAAAAACCTTACCCTCAAAACCTCTAAAGAAGACAAAACCGAAATAGGAGCAAGGAAGTTAACGAACCTAGAACAACCTTCACCAAAGTAAGCCTTCCTCCAATGGAAAGGGTTTTCACCTTCCAACTGGAAAGTCTAGACCAAAACCTATCAGAAAGAAAGGTCCAAGCAGAAACACGAGTCATAATCTGACCCACCGGAACTCCAAGATGAATAAACGGAAGCTGAGCAGCATCACACCCAACCCTATTCGCCACACTAGTAACCCGGGTATAGGAAACACCCAGTCCAATCAATTTGCTCTTAAGCAAATTGATTTTTAGCCTTGAAGCCATAAAAAAAATCGAAGGATGCGAATAATCCAGAAGACATTCTCCTAGTCCTAGGTAGAAATAACCATAACATCATCCGCGTAAAAAAAATGGGAAATCTGAATCCTTGAAACAGAAATTCCCCTAAAAACATTGTTAGCACGAGCCTTGAACATAGCAACGTGGTTCAAAAAGGACCCCCCAGCCTCAAGCCACAATGAATCTGGAATTCGTCAGTAGGCGATCCATTTACTAAAACCGAAGCCCTAACCGAGACCAATAATTCTTTTATCCACTCACACCACCTAGGTTCAAATCTCATAATCTGCATGACTTCTAAAAGATAATCTCACGATAAAGATTTGTAAGCCTTCTCAAAATCCACCTTAAAGAGAACAGAAGTGGATTTCCAGTCTCCTTAGTCCAAGACACCACTTCATTTAGAAGGAATGGACCATCTAAAATTTGTATACATTTAAAAAAAAGCAGATAATCCAAGCTCACAACAATATCAATCACCTCTCCCAATCTATTAGCTAAAAGTTTACCAATAATTTTGTATTTACAACCAATGAGACTAAGAGGTCTATAATCTTTCGTGATCTTTGGGTCATTAACTTTGGGGATAATGATAAAAAAGGAAGCATTACACCCCTTCGGAATGGAAGAGTGATGATGTTTGGGTCATTAACTTTGGGGATAATGATAAAAAAGGAAGCATTACACCCCTTCGGAATGGAAGAGTGATGGAAGAAATGCATAACAAAGGCTTCAACATCATCAGCCATGAGGTTCAAATAAGGGGTTGCTTAAAAAAATAATTCATTAAAAAGAATTTTCTCACTCAACTTATTGAAAACCAATTTTATATTTAAGGAAATAAAGTTTGATAAAAGAAATTAAAATTGTTCCAAATGACAGTTATCTAATACTGTATTATATAAATTGCATAAAGAATATCGTAGTTTCTTAATATTAAGATTACAATGATCAATGCTACATGTGGGATATAATATATAGTTTCTTACCCTTATAAATAAATCATAACCCTTTTATTTCAAATAAACATGCCAAAACCCCATATCTTGAACGGACCATCAACATTCGAGCATAAATTGTAACAGATGCATCGAAAAACAAACAAGAAAACAATTAAACAAACACCAACTCATAAAATATTAAATCAAATCCAATAATAAAAACCGATTAAAAATTGCCAATCATTCTGTTTAATAAAACCACATACCACAAATTATTTAAATACAAAACAAACAAAATCGCTAGACTTGGTAGTGTATAAACACATCACTCAAAACCAATAACATCACACTCCAACACCAATATTGATTTTTCGAGCACAAACTCACCTCATACACTTAATAATTTGTCGCCACTATACTTCGAAACAATTTCTCATATATTTCTTTTGTGTATGCTTACGAACAATGTACATGTGTGTTTAAGCGTATGTGTATAGACTACATGTATTTATAAGGGTATATGTGTTTGCGTGCATATCAGTTTATGTTTGTATATACATTGCTATTTATGTGGGTATACGCATATGTTTATATGTACACATTTTAAAATCTTCAAAATAGTTATATCCTCATACAAATACAATACTGCCACTCACCTTATAACCTCATAAGTCATAAGTCATAACCATACCATGAAGAAGCTTTTCAACTATTCTCCTTCATAGATTCCAAATCATCCTCCAAAACTGTATACCTACAAAAAAAAATTGTAAACTTTATATATATATATATATATATATATATATATATATATATATATATATATATATATATATATATGCAACAAGTAATGATATTTGAGACCTTGATTATTCTATCAGCCTGGCCAACAAAAAGTTTTCCCTGCCAATAAAGCAATGCAGTGACAACCGAATCACCAGAAATACTTCCAATTTCTGTAGCATCATCATCATCATCATCACCAGATAGTTTCTGTACAACAACAGTTTTGTTCCAACCACCACTGAACAACCATTCTCCTTCCATACAAACTGAGAAAATGGAGCTCATGTGTGCTGAAATGGGCTTCAAAGCCACGTCTTTCTTCCATACCTTTATGTATCCGTTTTCATGAGCTGCAACAAGAGTCTGGTTATGAAGAGCAAGACACAAAATAGAGCCAAAAGGTGATGGTGATGCTGCTGCTTCTTCCTCCCCTAACACCGCTAAAGGACTGTGATCACTTAAACACCATAACCGAATGCTTCCATCCCAGCTTCCACTGTAAAGAACCTCATCACAAACTGCCAATGTCGACACCACTGATTTGTGACCACTCATACTACATCTCAAACTATAATCCTGACATTTAATTACGAGAATAAGCCATAAATGTATTAAAAAAAAAAAAAAAAAAGAAGTACTTTCATATGTGCAAAAGACGTAAATGCCCTTACATGCATTGACCAGGCTTTTATTGTCTTGTCCCCACTGCCTGTATAAAAATATCCAGCTTCAGAAACAGCCAAGGCATGAATACCACTGTAGCGCCAATCTTTTTCCTCATTCAGTCTTTTGAAAGCATTCTCCTCAAATGGAACTTTAATGGCCCAGATTAAAATCTCACCTCCATTATCAGCACTTATGCATATTGGAGCTTCTCTGTTTACATAAACGATAGCCATTACCTTATGTTCATGACCCTTGAATGTATGTACATGATTAAGACCCTGTGTTATGTATTTCATTAATCCATCATTTCCATGTATGTAAATGTAATCATGATGCATACCTGGAGAGACCATACGTTCACTGTTTTATCAAATGAGCAGCTGAAAAGAAACCCCCCTACAAAAAATTTAAACCAAATCATCTCCACTAAATAGTAAATACTAAAACCACATTTTCATGGTATTTAAAATTGCCAAAAACATACCTCCAACAGCTAATCCAGATATGCAATCGAGATGACCTTTCAAATCAGTGCATTTTATGGAATTCTCAAGAATACCCTCAATGACGCCACTCTCCACCACCAAGTCTCCATCTTTAAAACCATTCTTATCAACTTTATCAGGTTTCTTTAATGGCAATGACAGGTCTCCTAGAAGCAAACAGTGACAGGTGCTTTTGTTTATCACTTTCTCCTCCAAACTTCTCATTACCTCAAACTTTGGTTTGATAATCAATTCCCTCATGGATTTCCAAAGGTCAGTCACAACTGGTCTAGTCCCAGGGTCCAAACATACACATTTGTGCAACAGATCCTTCATTAAGACATAGTCTGAACCCAATTTAGTATCTAACAAACCACAAACTTTATCAAACCATGCCATGTATAACTCTTCACAATCATCACCATTTTCATTGACTAATGCGAATATATAACTGCACAAGAAGTTTTGTGTCTCCTCACCAAAAGACTTCCCGATTAGAAACAAAAGTAATATGCAGGCTATCGACCATACATCTGAACTATAGCTAATGGTTGACTTGCCAAACTCCAAGTCAACATCTCTTTTCTTTACAAACTCTGATAATAACTCTGGGCTGGGAAACGTGTACATTTCAAATCTTTTACTATCTTTATTTTCTGCAAACGATAAGGTCTCTGAGATCATGTTTTGAATTCTATGCCCAACCATGAACACATTGTTTAGGTCGATAAACAGGTGGCCAAAATCATCAATACCAAAGCATGATAATGAAGCACATCCAGTTACTAACTCGGTTTCATGCAATTGGCTTATGGTTTCACATAGCTCCATACCAATCATGGAGAAACTAGATATATCATCTTGGATGTCTGATTCGATAACATTCAACAAAGTCGTATGTTTCCTTTCACAGATAAGATATAAATGCCCGTTCTCCTCGTTATACCACAACCCATAAGCAGTACAAATTCGATATGCCTTCAAGCTTGAGGAGAGAATCAACATCAGTTCAGCTAATACGCCATCCCTCATTTTAAATAAAATACTGATAACTTTCGCAAGGTAACTGTAGTTGAATCTATTCTCGTTACTATGAGTAAAAGAACCAACTTTAAACAGGCTCACCTTTTGATGTCTTTTCATCGAACACCTGGAAAACGGCCCAGAAGAAGCATCCGAATTTGCAACTGTTCCAAGCAAAAAAGACTCATCAAGAGTTACACTCGCGTCGACCGAAATTGTGTCTCGTGGAATGACCCATTCCTTCCAATTATAGTGAAATTCATGAGACCAAAAATTGGGTATGAAGTCCGGCGATGATGATACGGTGGGGGTTTTAGGTTTGGAGTTGAGGCAATTGGGGTTAGATTGGAGAAGAGAGGAGGAGACGCGGAGTAGGTCAATGTTTTTGGGGAGGGCAGAAGGACCTTGTGTTGGGTAGCTGACAAGCTGGGTACAAGCTGGACAGCGTATGGTACGAGGGAAGGGTGGTTTTGGAAGGTCGATCAGGCATGTCTCGCATGTAGAGTGGCCACAGGCGAGGACACGTGGAATTGTGGATTCGCCGTCGAAGGGCTGGAGGCAGACCGGGCACTCAGGTAACTCCGGCGGGTCCATGGCTTCTTTCAGAGTTCCACAAGCTCATAAAAAAGTGGTCAGGTTCCGACGATAACGTTTCAAAGTAGACAAATACCAACTTTGGGAAAGAGAAGGATAAAAACTGAAAAAATGGAATTACTCCATTTCTCTTTTTCTTTTTCCATTTATGTTTTTTTACGGGCAAATCTCAATTGAAAAATATTTATCCAACTAATATTTATTTTTATTTTCTATTATTTTTCAGTTTTTCTTAATGTTTTTTACTTTTTAAGAAATAAAAGAAATAAAAATATTGTTATTTTTCTTTTTAAAAATAAAAAACAATAAAATTTTGAATAAAAATAAAAAGTAAAAGAAAATCGGGATGTTAAAATAAAAAAAAATAAAAAAACATTAAGAAAAATGAAAAGAAATACTAGTTTGATAAATATTTTTTAAACTATACTAAATTGATAAATATTTTTTTCAATAACTCTATTTTAGTAAAGAAAAAAAAAATTCAGCAATGTAATCTACTCCTAAAACTACCACATAGACGAGATTTGAATCATCGACCTAAAAAAGAAAATATAATATATGATACCGCTAAGTTAAAATATCTTTAGTATTTTTTTTTTGTTTTAATAGCAATGTGAAAATGGTATAAAACCTATTTATATTATTTTATTGATTTTATTCTGTAATGCCACAAAAATTCATTGAAATTTCCAATCTTGTTATTCTTTTATTCATCGATTTTCATATTTCTTCAAATAAAATTAAGGGATTTCTTGGATAATGTCATTGATAGTGGTAATGAGCTACTGCTTGTTAATGACGTGACTAGTTAGCTACAATGGATTTTAGATCATTTTTAGGCCCATTACAACATTTGCTTTTAACTTGTTTCTTATTAGAACATGTATTATGTCTATATAGTTAAAATAATATATATATATATATATATATATATATATATATATATATATATTATGTATAAAAATAATCAGTCAAATCTCTAGTACGTCTCATTCACGAAACATGCTATAAGGAAGCGATCTATAAAATGACCGTTGAATGAGTGTCCGCTCTCACCCACCACTCTCCTGTGTGGTGGAAGGTTGTTAGTTGAATGGATTTGATATGACATAATCTCATTAATATGTATAATGATATAAAGTAACTAAATTATTTTAAAAAATATCATTCTTAGTTACTTTAGGAAAAATGTGAAATGTATGTTAATCCATAAAAATGCACATCATACTTTATATGTCGTTAACGAATCGTGTGTGGTTAACCGGCACACTAATATGGACTATAAAGATATATGATGGACATCTCGAAAAATTATCACTGTTGATGAAGCGTGTGTGGTTAACCGGCATATCAATGTGAGATGATAAATGATATCGAGGCTGTCAAGCGAGTTTGCATGGTTATTCACATCTCTTTTGTGATCATCGGCATCCCAGTCACAAAAATGAGAGCATGATCTGAGATTAAGCATGTTATTGATTAAATTTAATGAATTTCAAAAGATCTAGGAGTTTCATAAGATTGAAATTGATAAAAGCCTTACCTACCTAAAATAGATTCGAATTTGATTACAACATCCCTCTTCAAAGTTCGAATCGAAGATATGGATCCTAGCCTTAATTTAAAATTTATGGGTTAATGATTAAGGATTAAAATCAACTAACTTGAATTCTTTTTTCTCTCATTATAGATGTCAAGTCAAGAAAATAATGGTCTTCCTCATTCTTTTGGAAATGGTCTTTTTTTCCTTCTGGAAATGATCTTCCACTTTTCTAATCAATGTGAAAATGTTTTCTCTTTTTCGGGAAATGGTGGAACTGGACATCATGCTTCTTTAACTCTTTCACCTCCTCCTACATTAACTCCAAACGTCACGTTTTCCTCGAATTAAAAGATACGAAACTACTCAATCTCTATTGGCATGTAGACATCAAGATGGAAATTATGTGTGTGCGCATGTTCTTGAAATGAAATCGTACATTGAAAAATTGGATAGAATGGGTGTCATTTTCCTATAGGAGAAAGCCATTGATTTGATCCTTATTTCACTTCCTACGTCATATGGTTAGTTCACTGAGAACTTTCATATGAGGAATATCTACATGGCCCTAATTGATCTGACATATGTGTTGATTGTTGTTAAAGAAGAAATGCTTAAGGTCACAAGCGAAGCAAAGGTGCTTGAAGGGTCTAATTCCAAAGTTTCCATGGATAATAACAATGGTAACAATGGTTGTCCAGAACAGATTTCTCTTCCCTATGGAAATGGGTCGGCCAAGGTTAAACAGTTTGATCGTATGGTAAAGAGAAATGCTAGTTCTAAGATAGTTAAATATGTTAATCCTGAGGAGCCCATGTGTTTCTATTGCCAATTAAAGGGACATTCGTCGTGAAGATGCCCAAAATACCTGAAAGATCTCAAAGATAGAGAAGTCAAGTTGTGTGGCTCTACTTCAGATACATCCATTATCTTAGCAAATTCCTATTCATATATTCTTAATACATGATGTGATGATCACATTTTGATGTTATTGCAAGATCTAAGAGAAAAAGAAAGAAGCTTAAGTAGAGTATGCTAAATCTGATCAAGGAAATGGACACTAGTCACATGGTTCGATGATTGGATTTTGGTTCTGCTAATACGGAGTTAGGATAATTTAATAGATTGTTATTACTCTTCGAAGATTCTAGAAATGTAGTTTTTCATTTTATGCGTTGTAAGGACAAGTTCAAAATTTTTTCGTTTATTTTCAATAAAAAGTGAGATTTTGGTTTATTTGTTTGCCTTGTTTTATACATTTCCTTGTAATAGATTTTATGAAATGTTGATTACATTTCTAATATAAGTAATATTAATTGTGGATTTGATTCTTATGATATCGCTTGTGGTATTGTCATAAATGACCAAGTTAAAAGAAATTTCATCACCAACTGAACAAATACTTGGTGTTGTACAATTCTTATAAGAATCCTATTTATTGGAAAATTATGACTAATTCATTGATCACATGTTTATGTGAGTCAAGTGAATGACTAATGGATCTAGTATATGTTGATGTGGACTATACGATACACCATAAAGGCTGATAACTCTATTCGTCATGATTTACTAATGTTTCATTAAATATGGTTGTGTTTATAAGATTAAGCATAATTCTGATACTTTAAAGAGATTCAAAGAGTAGCAGAAGGAATAAGAAGAATCTGTCAGGCAGAAAGATAAAAGTTTTTCCAATATGAAAGGAAATGAGAGTACTTTAGTATCATGTTTTATGATCATCTTAATGAATTTTGAACTAAATCACCATTGAACCCACGAAGAATATCTTGGTACAATTGTATGACTACGAAAATGAATAGGAAGTTGTTGAAATAGTTAGATCAAGAGATGAATCATACTTCGTTTCCAATCAGTTATTAGAGTGATACTTTAAAAAGGTTGAAAACATCTTGAAATATGTGGAGTGAAGGTGTTTCCTTACTCTATCACATAAAGAGTTGGAGTTGTGATGCTTTTTGTTAATCGAGAAACAAAGGATAAACCGAGACCTATCATGTCACACCCCCACACCGGAACGTCGTAAATGTTCGGAGGTTGTGTGCTTTATCTTGGAATATCATTACATAGTATATAATTGAAACATAACATCATCATCATCACACAATATAACAACATTCATTGTTTACATCGAGTATTGTATTTGAATATTACATGCCAAATAGTAAGAGTATGATGAAACAAAATACAACACAATATCCATTAGTTTGTTTCGTTCATCCTGCTTCAACGGTTACCTGAGAATACAAGTTATTTTGAAAACGTTAACATATATAATGTTGGTGATTTCATAAGCAGGCTTGGTATGAAAATGTTTTGTATAGTTTATAAACCCTAGAAAATATGATATTTTCTGAAACTGCAATTGTTTATACAAAAAATGTGAAGATCCATAGGTTTATGTATGAATGATTTCAAAACGTGTATGTATGAGAAGTTTTGCATCATAGTCATTGAAAGTACAAGTGATTAATGTTGATTTCTTCGGAAAACCCGATGTTTTCCGATAAAACGGTATGATCGTTTTTGAATTATTTTACCATCACAACGAATGATTACGAATTCCTTTGATTACTCAGATAGTATTGGATTTATTATGTGAGTCGTTATAACCATGCATGATAATGACTAGTTCGTCTGTCTTAGCATTCTATAGGACACCGAAATTAATCTTAAGATTTTGTCACCCTATACTGGCCAAGTCTAAATGTAGTGAACATCTCAGGTTTTGGGGAGTCACCCCCCGTATAGATCTATACACAAACTCTCACTCTCTAACCAGGAGACTCTGGTTATAACTACAGACTACGATCGACACTCATAGGTGCCGCCCGTTATTACTCACTTAATCCAAATTGAATTTGATTACTCTTAATTAACAACATGATTTTTGTTTACTTGAATAGAAGGTAAGCCTAACAGACGAGGATAAGAGAACCATAAGGTCCTACTAATCCCGTATGTTACCTAAGGTTGTCGAGTATACGAATGCCGCGTTGGCCAAATTCGTATTTGATTACTTGGACCTTACTAGCAATGCTAATGGGCCACTGAGGCCCAATAGCATGTAAAAGCCATTGAGGTTCCCCTTAAACATGTAACTGGGTCACAGAAGTCCCAATAAACATGTCTTAATTTCGTTAGGCCAAAAAGTCATGTTAATGGGCCACAAAGGCCCAACAAGCATGATTTGAGTCTTTTAAGCCCAACCGTTTCATTGTTTAATCGTTTTGTATAGTTCAAAAGTCAGGAGTTCTGTTAGAACAATTGTTAAGTCGTGAAGTCACAAGGTTTGTCGATTGTTTTATAACGATTTTATACTTACGAAAATACATGTATATTTTTCATTCTAATTTAATAAGTTATAATGTGGTATTTTTTACCCAATATATTAATAATTAAATAATTGACTCAAAAATATTGGTTTGACTCATTCAACCATTCTTTAGTAAAAAATGACAATTTAAGTCCAAACTTATCGCAATTTTTGCAAATTTGACCCAAAATCCAAAAACTTTGCATTTTTTATCCTTTTTGGCAAAATGG